CAGAATAAAAAGTTAACTTAATTTTAAAAGATCACCCGTTTTAAGAATGTACAGTATGCTTCATAATAATTTATTTTCAACATTGTAATTAATCGGAAACTTTTTTGTTTAAAGAAGTATATAAAGTAATATTTTTATTAAAAAATACATACGAGGTCTGATCAAAAAATAACCATTATTTTAAATTTTTTTCAGAAAGTATTTATTTATTCATCAATAACTATCTTGTCCCCTTCAAAGTAATCCCCCTTAGATATAATACACTTATGCCAGTGTTTTTTCCAATCTTCGAAACACTTCTGAAACGCGCTTTTTGGTATCGCCAACAGCTCCTGTTTCGATTTTTCTTTTATCTCCTCAATCGTAGCAAAACGGTGTCTTCTGTTTTGGGAAGAGGAAAAAGTCAGCGGGGGCCAAGTCCGGTGAATATGGTGGTTGAGGCATGATAACGGTTTTGTTTTTTGGCCAAAAACTCACGCACAAGCATCGATGTGTGAGCTGGTGCGTTATCATGGTGCAAAATCCATGATTGTTTTTTCCACAATTCTGTGCGTTTCTAACGAATTGCTTCGCGCAAACGGCGCATACCTTCAAGGTAGTATTCTTTATTGACCGTACGACCTTGTGGCAAGAATTCATGATGCACCACGCCATTGCAGTCAAAGAAAACAGTGAGCAAAACCTTCACATTTGACCGAACTTGGCGTGCTTTTTTCGGACTTGGCTCTTCTGGACGCTTCCATTGGGATGATTGGGCTTTGGTTTCAATGTCATAGCCATACACCCATGATTCGTCACCAGTTATGACTTTTTTGAGGAAATCTGGATCGTCGTTGACGATGTTCAACAGCTCCTGCACGTTTCATGCCTAAAACATCCGTAAAAATTGCTTGGCTGAGCCAAACGATATGCCAACATCATCAGCAACCTCTCTGATAGTGATTCGACGATTATCTAAAATCATTTTCTTCACTGCTTCATTGTTTTCATCGGTTGTTGACGTGCTCGGGCGACCAGGACTAGCATCGTCATTGCCATCTTCTCGGCCTTCCTTAAACCGGTTATACCACAATTGAACTTGTGTTCTGCTCATAGTAGACTCGCAAAACGCCACAGTCAACATTTCAAATGTCCTTGCGCATTTAATTTCATTTGTTACACAAAACTTAATACAGTTTCTTTGATCCATTTTTTCGAATAGAAAAAATCGAAGAGCCCACCAAAACACGACTAATCTTTTTATCTGTCAAAAACGAAACTGACAATCCAAAATGGCTGATATTGCCAACATTATAATAATTCACCCCCTTACGAGTGAATTTCAACCCCTGAAGTCGACTGAACGACTTGTGTAGGGGAAGGGACGGCTATTATTATTATTTGCCGTGGCGCTCCGGGGCGACTTAAGGATGATTGATGGTGCCATTTGACTTACAGGTGAGGAAAACCCGGAAAACCTCACCCACCATCATATAACAGATATGTGTACCAATATAACAGAAAAAAAAATGCGAAAATCGAACATACGTAACTCACGAAATTTGAAAATAACGGTTATTTTTTGATCAGACCTCGTATTAAACAAAAATTATAATAATTTTAATTCGTAAATATTACAAGCCAATACAGCAAAACGATGTAAGTAAGGTAATGTTTAAATTAAATGCAAAATTTTGAAAATCTTGTATCTTTAAAAATAATTATAAATATTCCCGGAATATATAATCCCTTGCTCGAGGATGAATTTATTTGTGTGATTATAGCACCGTAATTTGTTTATCTATGTATTTTAATGGCCTCTGGCGCGTAAATAAAGTAATTAGCATGGGTAGAAATTAAGGGTATAGGATTATCCATACTTACACAGGAAAAAGAAATGGGTTTTGAATTACAATTTGATTGGTACTTAAATAATAAAAGATTAAAGTACCTATCATCTTGCAAATTCCGAACTAATTTCGACTAACCTACAGGATAATATTTTTCTGGCAGTTACATTTTTCATCTGATATTAATGCTAATTTTTTTCATTAATAGGAAAAGCTTAGATAAAAGAAACAACAGATGATGCATTTCATTCATAAAGTATGTTTTATTTGGTCCCAATCATCGGAAAAGAGAAAGAAGCTATTTTATGCGGATCGAAATAAGACAGACTGTAATCGAAAATCTCGTCTGGCAACGCTGCTGTTGTACGTAAAGTCTGTTAATACCAGTGGCGTATCTTATTAAAGATAAAATCATAACTAATTAAAAAAAAAAAAAAATGAAATACTAACCGATATGGTGTGCAATAAACTTTATAATGATTTAAACTTTAAAATCGATTGGATTTGGTATAAGGGTATAAAGTTCAGTGGAATGTAGGAAAAAAAGCTTAAAAACACTATTTTTTTCCAAGAATAATAGATTTATTATATCTAAAGATGTTAAATAAAATAAAAACAAGATAAATAAATCAAGATTTATTTTAAACAAATTTACGAATTCAGTTTTAGGGTTAAAATTTGAACAGTTTTACAAATTGGTAAATGAGAGATTTTTAAATCAAAATTTAGATTTTTAACACTACTAAATTTATAAAAGTTATTAAATCAATAAATTTACCATACTTATATACAAGGTGGGGATTTTAAATGGAACGCTTCTTATAGCGGATCTGGTAATAAGAATTTTGTAAAATCCGAAAACACGTAGAACTGTACAACAATAAGCCTATCCATTGATAGTTTTTAACTTGTAAAACTAGGCAGTAAACTAACTTACTTATTATCATCCATAAATGTGTGCGGCATAGATAAATTATCTTCTGGTGTCTTACTAGAGTTCATGAAAATAACCAAAGAAAGAGGCATGTAATATGAGTTTATAAAAAAGTTTTTTCTTGCAAAGCACCTACAAAATTTAAAGAACTTACAATATAAAAATTTCTTTGTAAGATAAACTACCAACTTTCATCTTAAAGGATAAACACTTAAATGAACATTTCTGAAACATAATTAAGAAAGTTTTTAGTTGCCTAAATGAGTTTTCTTGAAACAATGAACTTAGTTTTGGCAGTGCTCCAGGCTTGAGATATTTGCTTTTTGAAGAATATCATTAGGATCAAAATGCTCCGAGCATAACACTCTTTTTTAGATACCTTCATTTTCTCCTACAAGTGATAGCCAAATATTTCTTTAATGCCTTTCAGTTGGGACTCTAACAATTAAGCATAAGCATATTTATTTTACCACTATAGTCCAGACTAAAGTGTTTCTATTAATTACATTTTTTTGCGAAATTAATAATGTTGAAAGATCAAAGAAAATAACAGTAATATAAAAGTAGATAATACATGTGATATTACGGCAAACATCTTTAAATCTACACCACTGAACTATGTAATACATCATCACCTAATCTTACTTATGAAAAGATACTTCAGCACCCACATTTTCCAGTTTTTTGCTCAAAATGCATTCGCGAACCATGTTGTTAGCTATACACAAGCCGAATTTTTTCCAAAAAAGTCTAAAGATTAACAAAAACACCCATTATGCAACAATTTACTGGATCACAACGTCGCAAACTATCGATGGATAAAATACTATACGTGACGTATAGTATGAATGAAACAAAGTTATTTTAAATTGCGGGGGTGTCACGTTTAACGCTTTTAAAGTTGTTATTTAGCAAGCGTATGTATGTAAAAACGATAGGTACAAAAATGCCCTGCCTAATGGTGCAAAAATAGGTGCTGCTAAAATATCAAGTCTGCTGAAAGCAGTTAAACTAGATAATCTACTTTGTACACATTTTGTACGATTCTTGTTTTGTTTCAAGTAATTTTATTTAGAGATTTATTATTAGAAATGTTACAACTTGCAACATCTCGGCCCATAATGCGTCGGAGTTGGAAACACTGCACTAGGTACGAAAATGAATTGGTGGGGACGCTTGATGTGTCGCAATATATCTCGCAACTATTCTAATTAATAAAACTTGTTGTTATTAGTGAGTTATAGGTAAAATATATTTTTAAATATGAAAGGAATAAACTACACAGCCTGACAAGGAAACGCATGTCGGTTCATTTACGAAATAGCTACGCGCTACGTTTCTTTGCAATATATGACCGGGTTTTAAATGTAAATAGAGGAGCTTTGAGGAAAAGTGACTATATGTTTTAATCTACATTATTTATCGTTGAAGAATACCATCAATTTAAAGGTTTTTTTTTTCAATTGAACAATTCCAGTAATATTTATTTTTTACAAATTAATAGTCAGAGTAAATCACTTTCTTATAAAAATATTGTTTTCCAAATAACAAAAAAAAAACACTGATATTACTAGGGTTAAGAAAATAAAGTGGACGGGATAATAACTGTTAAAATACCCAATTTTTTTGTTATTAGCAATTAAGTGTTTGGATCAATTAAATACGAGATATAATGATGAATTGAGTGGAGCACCGGCACTCTCACTATCGCTAATATCTCCGTTATTCTTCCACCTAGCCTTCTGATGATTTGCAAGTAATTTTATTTTAAATTACAGAATAAGAAAACAAATTGTCAAAAGTATACCTAGTGGCATCATTGTTGCTAAATTTTTCGCAACGTGAGCGCCTTCTGACGACTTTTTCTCTTCCACCTATACTTCTGACAATATTTTCCCTACTTTCTTATACTATCTCCGATAATACTGCAAATTTTCAGAGCTGTACCTTATCACTTATTCTGCGAAAATAAATTGCATGTTTAACCCCCTACCCTTACTTTATACTTCCAGAGTGACTTCTCACTGTCCCCCTCTCGCTATGTTGGTAACAATCGAAACTGTAAATAACAAAATTTTGACTTTACCGAGTCATCCCTACTTTTGTGTGGCCAGCTCTTAGACTATAACCGGGTGTTACACTTTGTAATCCATTTAAAGTATGACGGTACTACAGTGTATGTCTCTTAATTTGAACAACGTTCAGTTGTAGTTTTCACTTATTCTCAATTATTGCAGTTCGTTTAAAATATACGAAAAATAGAAAATAAAATTCAGATCTTACGATTGTTATGTGCTGACATCTATATAGTAAAATGGAGAATGGAAATAATGATGAAGAACAAAAAGAACTGTCTAACGATTCTGTTCATAGTGCTATGAGTACGCCTAGCGAAGAATTGGACTCTGATGCCACTACTATTACAGGCAGTAAGGATGTTTATTTTATTTTCGTGATATTAAACAGGTTGCTGACAATTTTTAAATTTATTTATTTTAATAGCGACACAAAATCATATCCGTAGATTTTATGTTGTGTAAGGGCAATATAATTTTGTAATAAACATCTTTATACAAAATGTTTTTGCTATTTCTACAGTAATAATTAAATAGCTAAATATGCACTAATTACTTACATTTTTTTACCATTACTTTTTATACAACGTAAATTATGAAAGTTACGAGTTTACTAGATACAAGTAATTTACATTTTAATACTTTTTAGTGTATTGTACAGATTCTATAAAAACGTGCATTTAATAATTTATTTCTTTTTTTTTTTCAGATACTATGGGTCTTCGGTCCCCTGGTGGGCCTTTACGCGGCCGATCCGTCAAAGAATTCGAAGAACAACTTACTAATCTGAAAAAAGAAAATTTTAATCTTAAACTAAGGATATATTTTTTAGAAGAAAAAATGGGCACAAATTTTACACTAGATAAGGATAACATTGTAAAAAAGTACATAGAATTACAGGTTAGTACAAATTTTTTTTTCCATTTCTTTATTCTTTTTATAGCGTCTTATCTTTTTTTTAATAATTTTAAGAAAACGTTATATTTAAAAAAGTTCTGCATGGTCTAAAACCTAAAATACAACCAGCTGGGGGTCGACTTAGGTAGGTATAGGATTTTTATTCCGACGAAAATGAATTCCTACGATAATATTCCTGCAGTATCAGTTGTCAGCATTCTTGAAGAAGAATCAAATTTCTTGTAGTTTTAATTTAAGTTCATTCATAAATAAGTTATTAGGTCTGCTGGAAACACGCCCAGTAAATCCAAATAGGTGGGCTATTTCTTTTTTCTTTCGACTTTTTTCATGAACTTTTCTTCTAACCAATGGCGGTTCGTGATAATTTAAAATGGGTGTTCACTTTTTCCAATAATTTTATCATTTGTAAGTTCGGTTCAAAACTTTGTACAAGAGTCAATATCGCTGTTTTTTTTTATTATTTGAGTTTGTATTAAGTGTAGTTATTATTATCAACATCATACTGTTTTCAAGCACTAAAACTATTAATAAATGAATATTTTAGTTAGTGTAATATTTTAATATTTGTTTTGTTTTTAATACGTTGAAAACCATCTATAAACATTATTAGTTAGTAAACTGACTTTTCTATCATAATTTGAGATTATTTTTAAATATATATCAGGTTATGTAGAAAGCTTGACATTGATTTTTGTGTAAAAATTATATGGAACTTTACATACCATTTTTCGGTTTTTATTGTAAGTTTAATCATTTTCACAATTTGTCATAGATGTCAAATAAAAAATATATTTTTTAAATACCTTTTATTGGCAAATAAAATAAGAACTAAAATGTTTTAAATGTTTATTTTATAAGATCAGTTCCATCACAATACATAATATTACATAAATACAAACTATAATAAAGGTAATATAATGCCTTGCATTTTAAATGATACTCTTTGCAATTTAACCCCCATTTTCAACCAGATTCTTTTCACAATCAATAGGCCTCATCTCCTTATAGATCTTGATTTTTACTAAAAATTTCATGTTGATATCGCTTTTCATTTTTGATTTTTTTTTAATTTCAACCCCCCTTAAATCCCCCATATTTAATCAAATTTTTTTTATAATAAGGATTCTTTTCCTTTTAGAGCTTGATGTTTGCTAAAAATTTCAAGTTGATATCATTTTTCAGTTAGGATTTTTTTTGTCATATTTTAACCCCCCTTAACTCTCCCCAATATATTCATATTTTTTTCAGTATCAATAGGCTTCATCTTCTTATAAAGCTTAATTTTTACTAAAAATTTCATGTTGATATCGCTTTTCGTTTTTAATTTAGGATTTTTTTTAATTTCAACCCATCTTAACCCCCTATTTTTAATCAGATTTGTTAAAAATCAGTAGGCTTTGTCCCATTATAGAGCTTGATTTTTGCTTAAAATTTTCAAGTTGATATCATTTCTCGTTTTCGTGCAGACAAAAAACGTGACATCGGACAGGCGGACAAAATAAACCTATAATACTCTTCACAGAACACTGTATGAAGAGTAGAAAAAAAAACTAAAATAAACAGTTTAAAAAGGTCAACAATAATGTGTCCATGTTTACTAAAATAGTATATTATGCAACGATCATGTAATGATGGTTATTAATACACGAGCATTAACCGGGATACGAAACGAGCCAAAGGCGAGTTTCGTATGGTTTATGCGAGTGTTTTAATAACCATTACATGAGAGTTGCATACGCTATTTTTTCTACACCCGATAAATAATCAAGACCTATAAATATTCTATTTATATTGGTATTGAACACAATAACAGTAATTACTCGTATTTCTATAAAAAATTCTACAAAATTGTAATTAATGGTATTACCTTGGGTACTGGTATTACCACAGATTTTTGGGGCAAAATATTTTGTACTGCATTTTCTCCTTTCTCCTATATGTGTGGAGGAGTGTTCTATATCGCTGATATCAGACATTTTAATATTATAATTATCGAAGTTTAGCTATCTACGAAAATTTAATACGTTTTGACAACTAAAACAATTACATAGGAATTTAGGACAAACGTCAAACATCATGCTTGATTGAAAAATTGTAGGTTTCTATTGATTAAAAATCTGTATCATAATGAAAAATCTGTATCATAATGAAAAATCTGTATCATAATGGGTATCATTATGAAACGGATTATGGGCATATAAGTGCATTATTATAATACGGGTGTAGAAAAAATAATGTATTTTAATAAACAACAGAATAATAGTATTTTGTCTAAATAGGTAAATCGGATATATGGGATGTGACTTGTTAAGTGCCTAAACAAAATCACAATTTATGTTTGATACTTATTGCTCTTTTTGAGACATACTTTATTATCAACTGTAAACTAATTTACCAACAGCCTTATTTTTATTTAATACCTGCAGTGATCCAAATTACCATAACATCTAATATTTTTGAAAATACTAAATTATACAAACAAGGCAATAAAAAAATGTCATTAAAATAAAAGATTTCTGGTCAGTATGCAACAAACGATCTAGGTTAGAGGGTACCACGATTGATAATTACAGGCAAACATAACTTTATATAGGTAAACTATTTAAATGTACATACCATTTCTTAGGTAAAATGTCTCATCGATATTAAATTAACTGGTTGATCCATTTTTTCGATTCAGACTTTTAAAGTGAAAAACCATTTGTCTCCTTATCTTTATCAAATTTTTATTGTACATTTCCATAATGATGTCGATTGGTTACCTCATCAAATTAATCAAATTTTTCCTTTTCGCGGGTTTTGTGGGGGAAAAAATTATAAATTTTTTGCTTACTTCTCACTTCATAGTATTTACAATTGAGTACAAAATACACCATTTTGAAGTAGTCTTTGAACACTGAAACAAAATATAAAACAAATTACAGTCGTAAAACTTTATTATAGGTAAATAAAACAACATAACCTTAAAAATTTTAATTTACTTTGCCTTAAAGAAGTTTTTCGGGAACAATCGTTGAATTGACACACAGATTTAATTTATTGAATACACAGTTCTTAATTAAACACATTTTTTTAAATGAGCACAATTAAAATAATCTTATGTTTTTATTTAAAGTATTTCATAGCAGATGAATGACACTAATGATAGTGACAGTTTGTTTGATTTGGTACAGTGTTGCCAGAATATGTTTTTTGTTATGTACCAGATTTGCATAAAAAATGTACCAGATTCTAAATGTATTAGATTTTTCGAATTCTATTTGCAGTGACATCTAATTCATTGAAAGGGGAAAAAAGGGGGTCTTTATTGATAACGAACCCAAACAAGGAACACAATATATATTTTACACGTGAACACTGATGCACGCAGAAAGTACTACATCTAGTACAATTGTAAATTGTACTAGACTGGTAACACTGGTTTGGCAAACTTGTTTGTGAGCGGCGCGTCGCGCCAATTAAATGTGTTATTTTGCAGTTTGATGGATCTGTTGGCAGTTGGCGTGTGATCTTCTCTTTTTAGCTATATACATTCGTCAAATCGTCTCACTCGTGTTAGGCTCACACATTATAATGCGCCACAGACACAGTATGCTTATGCCACAGAAACGCGATTAGAGGGCAATGATGTACCAAAAAAATATAGATTAACACGTATGAAAATAGAAATATTAAAATTAAATTTATATTTTTGTTATTTATGTAATATTAAAATAATGTTTTTTTTATGAAATTTAACTGGGTCTTCACTGCACAAATGAACCAATGGAGAAACCGCCCCTGGTTGGAATCGACTCATTCTCAAAGACCCAAATTGATGATTGTTGCTTTTTTTCGGGATCATATCAGCATACCCATGATACAATAAAAAGAAGGTATTGTTTGAAAAGTGCCAAAAAAATATAAACAAAACGTCCATTTAATGCACTAATCAACTTTACTATGTGTAGGAGAACTACACGTCTCGTTACATCATAGGTCTTGCCGAAGAAGAAAAACGACTAAAACTTGTCTGAACTTATTTTTACTTGAAGGACCATGTAATTTTTAACCGCTTACAAAACGTTTTATTCAAACACGAAATATCGTTGAAGTCTCTTATTATTGTCAGCAATACCCTTTTTATCAACTCTGTGTCCCTCCTTAAACCCCCAGAAGTACCAGGCACATTGCTCGGGAAAAACGGTCTTTTAAAATTGTTTTGGATTAGTACCAACTACCTAAGTTTAATAAGTTATAAGGGACTATAATCCGTTCTAATAGAATTTTTATTACCCTTAATTGGGGCTTATTTTGGTATTTTAAAAGATTAGGGAAAACCAGAGCTGTTCCACTGCGGGTCTATACTATGAGTAGAAATATAAAGTATGATAAAAAAAAATATATTTATTGTAAATAATAAATTCAATGTGTCCGAGACTTTCTCGAACACTATGTAAAAACAACAAATCTAATAACTAATAATTATGTTCAAAAATGACGAAGATAAATTTAATATAAACACAGACCGTTTTTCATACGAGCGTGCTGAGGTATCGTTGAAAACTGATCCCCCCCCGCACGACCGACCGCGGTCAGTACTTATCTGGTAAAAACGCCGATTTATTAAAAAAAAAATTCTGGCCAATTCTGACACGGACTTGCCTCTCGAAGTCACTTTTCTTCGTGAAATAGGTTACGGGGCATTGGCTTCGTTTTCAAGAACGGCTTCCCAGTTGATGCTTTAAATAACAAAAAATTGTTTTAGGTACTTAGTTATTATTGTAGTATTATTACTAGCTTGATGATACGTTAAAACATCTTTAAACTCTAGATGCTTATCCATACTAGCGCCTACGTTATCAATGTTATTCACTGCATAAAACATGCGTGCTTTCAGTTTATCAATAAAAATACATAACACTCAGGCTTAAAGCATTTTGCACAGTGCAAACTCTTCATGGTTTCAACAAACACCCATTACTGACACTGTAAAGTATCCATGCTTTCATCATCTATACATTAGCAACAGTGTAAAGCGCCCATGCTTTCAATATGTATTCTTATTTATTAACAATAATGCAATGCCCATACTTTCAACACTCATTCGTTACTAACAGTACAAAGCGTCCATGCTTTCAATACTTATACATTTCTAACAGTGCAAATAGTCTATGCTTTCAACACCTGTGCATTTCTAACACGTGCCATAAATAGTACAATATTACTAACCTTTTATCGTTATTCTCATCATCAATATTATCATCATCCTCGTCCAATACGTCTAGGCAGATCAGCCATGTCAACTAAGAGAGAGACCAGTCAATGGGCCATATAGGCCAGTCATTAGAGATAAAATCAATTCACATTAATTACAAAAGTCTTCAAACTGTGTTGGAATATTTATTAAATTTAAATAATTGTAAATTTAATTTTGCAACTTTTTGGTCCTTGCTATCCACACTATCCAAATTTTGATAGTGTGGATAGCAAGTTGGTGGTTCGAGCCCCGAAAATTTTAGTTTTTTGTTTTTTTTTTTTTTCTAAAAAAAAAGGAAAAATATTTTATTATTTCAGTCTTGGTAATTTAAAATGTTTAGTTTTTAAAAAGTATATACTTATTCAATGCATAGTGGCGCATAACGAGGTTCATTCATTTTTATGTTGGCCGGCAATTAAACCCCGGAAAAAGTGTCTGCCTTTTTGGAATTATTTTTTTTTATATTTAATTAAGACGCTATTAAAATTTCAGTGTGAATCAAACACTTCAAATCATTTAAAAATCAACTTTGCCTAAATTACTAGTATTTTTAGAATTACCTAAACTTTCAATTGTTGTTTGTTGGCCTCTGAATCAAACACTTTTTTTGGGTCATATTTTACGACCCCTTTCTATTATGCGCAGTTGTGAATTGCAGATTGGCTTAATCCACAATTATATTCCTCACCTACACATCTTTGATATGAGCCTGTAGCATAGAATCGTAATGTTACAAGAACTTTTTTCTCCACTAATGTCCCCGCATTTGTCTGAGGATTTCTAATATGATTGCGTATATCTTCAATGATTTCTCTAACCAATTCCTTATTAAGCCTAAATAATTCACGAAATCTTACATCTGGAAGTTCAAATGGATTGTATCTATTCCGTAGAAACCGTCTATTGCTTATTAATGCTTGGTTCATTTCCCTTCTGCGGAGATTCAAATCATAAATTCGAACAATGAGAAGCATATTTAATTTTTTATAGTTAACAACAAAAAAGCTTAAATAATAAATAATCAATATTCTCTAACCTCGCTAACAAACAACAAAAATTTTAAATGTGATTCTAGTGTCAAAACTGTCAAATAAATCTTGGAAAAATGTAATTTCTTCAAATTTCCATCCCATTTGATCAAACTTTCTGAGTAAACCCGAAAGCGAATTCGAATGATTTTCATAATCGCATTTTTGATCCGTATCGTATTGTCCTACGGTTCGAATCGTCTATCCGTATCGAGTTCTCGTAATCCCGCTGCAGTTCTTTGCGTCAGATTGCTACTACCACTGGACTTTCGTATTCATCGGTACGCAAAGTGACAAAACTTTTTAAATTCCATCCTTATAAAATGAAGATACTTAAGGAGCTTGTAGACGATGATCCTGATAGGAGATTACAGTTTTGCAAATTTATGACGCAAAGCCAAACCTCATAAAAAACATTTTCTTTAGTGACGAATGTAGTTTTTATCTGCATGGCGCGTCAATAAACAGAATGTACGATATTGGAGTGATGAAAATCCTCACATTTTTAGAGAGGGCATACTCAATTTTTTTAAGAACGTTATAATAAATTTTAATTTTTTTAGAATTATTAATATGTTCTGGACCTCAGAAAATGTTGAAAAATTAAATTTACAATTATTTCAATTTAATAAATATTCCAACAAAGCGTTTGTAATTAATATGAATTTATTATCTCTAATGATTGGCCTACGACTCGTTCTTAGAAGTAATAGTTTTAAAGATATCATACGAGTAAACCCAAACCAAATCTACAATAATTTTTTTTAAAGCTTAGGTTTCATACATATTATATTTATTAGAGGTATATTTATAATCTTCATTTTTATGGGTGCATAATATAGTGTCAAATATTACAATATATTTTTACTCCATTTCTCTTTTGTGTTTAAATATTTTTATCCACGCCGCTGAACCTCACATAAAGGTTTGAATCCGACTTTTTTATACTTTTCGAAAACAATACAGAACATGACCCATCACCTCAAAGGTTGCCAGTTTATTTTTTCTTAAAAATGTATTTTTCTTTTAGGTTGATTTTGCAAATTTGAAAAGAGAAATGGAAGAAAAACAAGAACTCCTGTGTCAAGCCGTAAAAGCTATGGAGTTGGAAGATGATGAGCATAAAAAATATTTATCAGAGAAAGAAGAACAAATAGTTACCTATCAGCAAGAAATTGAAGATCTCAGGGTTCAGTTGCAGGTAATAATATATTTATAATAAAAATTTTCGCAATATTTTATACTGGACAGAGAATACTAAACGATTTATAAAAATAGACAAGCAGTTTCAAAGCAATTACAGGACTAGATGGAAAATGATTTTAATTAATAATATTATAAAATACATTTTTATTAATTGCGAAAGCTAGAATTATAAATATTTTTAAAATTCAAAAACATTCATATATTCAATCCCAGATTTTGATTTAAAAAAAAATGGTAGATCTTATGTGTCCTATAAATATTTTTAATCCCACAGGCAGAAGTATTTTCAGTTGTTAAATTAATTAGTGGTTTTATTAATTTCATTTATGGTTTTAAAATCGTATTGTACATTGTTTTAAGGATGTAAAAAGCGATTCTGAAGGAACTTCCACAAAATCTGATACCACAGGACTTAGTAGCGGTAGACTTTGTGGAACATTAGTCACTGAATTACAAGAAAAAGTTAAATTTTTGGAAAATGAGGTATTGCTATAATCATAGTTGCAATAGTAATCATCTCATCTTTTCTTTCTCCTTTTATTTGGTTATTTTCAATTTTACTTCTTAGTTATACCTCTTTATTATTCTTATAAAACTTTGTGATTATCTCACTGAACAATTTTATGTTTATTTATTTAGTATATTTCTTTTCATTTTTTTTTGTTGTTTTTGTTTCTTTTTTTTTGTTCTTATTAGTACATTTTTAATTGTTTTAACAGCTGTTCTTTTGGTAAATTGAAAATAAGTCCATATTTTTCAAGTTTTTTTTTTTCTTTTTTCTAAAATAAAACATTTAATTTTGTTGTCAATATATTTCTAATATGCACCCGTCACAGCTAAATCTTTTTCAATATTTTTAATTTCATTTGTTAGCTAAGTGTATAGTCTATTTTTATGTATGAGAGAAGTATTAAAATGATAAAGCGTTCGTAATCCATAGGCGTAGCACTTCTTTTAGTAGACAGTTAAAATATTTTTTGAAGTTATTCCTCGAGTATACACTTATATTTTCACCTAATTAACCTGCTTATAACTTCTAAACAGCTGAAGGTAAAAAAGTGCAATTTTTTCTAAAATGTTTTAATTTTCCACAAGGTATGTTAAGAACATTGTGTCAAACGGGTTATGTAGGTATAAGGGTTTAAACTTTGACTTTTAAACAACGTTACATTCATAAATAATAATTTTAATATAAAAACTACTTCTTACCTACAAATCCAAATCAGAATCGAAATCAGAAGATGAACTGTCGCAACCAATATTTACAATGAGTGGCTCGATCATTTCATCAGTAATATTTTCCAACTTCCACATTTTCTCTTCTTCTTTAATCGTATGATTTACTGCCTTTTCCCAGTTTTCAGGCTTCACATTATTTACAACCTCCAAAAACAACTGTTTAACATCACTCATTTTAAAAGAATTATTTTTTCTTGAAACTTCTCCCTTTATCTGTGCCCATATCAGTTCAATCGGGTTTACTTCGCAATGATATGGTGGTGATCTAACCACCGTCATCCCACGATTTTTTGCAATTTCATCAATTTCATATTTTTTGAATTTCTCTTTTTGAAGGGAACACAAATGATACAGTTCTTTTCTCACAGAACCGGGATGGAACTTAATATTCTTTGAATTTAGCCAATTCTGTAAATCTTTTTTTAACCACTTGGTTGTGGGCATTTTTTCTATAAGTCTCGAGTGATAACTTGCATTATCCATAACTATTATACAGTTCTTAGGAAGAAGATCTATAATTTGTTCGAACCACTCTTTAAAGACATCGGCATTCATGTCCTCATGGTAGTCACCGGTACGAGTAGATTCAAAAGTCAATAAACCACCTTTAACAAAACCGTTTAAACTACCGATGTGTACTATTATTAGTCTGCGCCCCTTTCCTGATGGTGGATTTAAACCAGTGATAAATTATTTAAAAAAGCCTGTCTTCGACTTGTAACAGTTTCATCTTGCCAAAATTTATTTGGTTTATGTCCCTCGTTGATCCATGTTTCATCTAAATAAAATATATTTCTTCTTTGGTTTCTTATTTCTTTTGTAGTCCTTAGGTAATTTCTTCTCCATACTACAATATCGCTTCTTTCTATTAAAATAGACTTTCTGGAATGCTTTTTCCATAGAAAACCTATTTCTTTTAAAAGTTTCCATAGTGTGCTTCGACTCATTTCAGGGTAATCCTTATCATCTCGAACCGTGGCAAGAACTTTGTCTACTGTCGGAAATTCTTTTCTAAAGAAGAACGCATGCACTTTCCTTCGAAGTCTTTCTTTCAAAAGATTTTCTAATTGAAATTTTGGTTTTCCTAGAGCTTTACGTGCTGTTTGAAACTCGCCACATTTCTCTTCTTTAACAACTCTGTAAATCGTAGATTTCCCAATACCAAGCGTACTACTAACTAATTCCACTGTGTCATCAACACTTTTACATAAATGTTTGTCTGTAAATGATTTAAAACAATTAAATATTAATGTTTTTTCATTAACTGTTAAAGGACCGATTTTTTGTCGTTTACGCGGCCCTTCCAAATTTTCCATGATCACACTAGAATTTACACTGCACCTTGCAAGTTGCAACTAAACGACATTTAGTAAACTGTCAAGAATACACAACTTGGACCTCCTTACTAAATGGAAAACCTATAATCGCATTTTCGGTGAAATTTGTTGGGAAGGTATTTATCTACTTATAATTCGATTACTGTAAAAAATTCTTGGAATTAAAATAAAACAAAATTGGCAAATAGGTACTTATTGAAAATAATCTTAAGATATGGCTATGTAATCTTTAATACACAGGGCTTTTGGCCTGTCCAAACCTTTTTCTATTGTTCTGTACAGCTTATGTTTATAAAGGTACATTTATTACAATTTTAGGAAATATTTAGATTATTCTGTAAAAATATTTAAAATGACCGTACTAAGTTTTGCATTAGAACTGCTGTTTTATTACCCTCTCATACATAAAAATAGACTATAGCTAATAGCTAATTCGTTACTGTAGAACATTATTTTTCTGTTCTTACTTGAACTCTGTCATTCACTCATCTAATCTAAAAAATGGACGTTATTTTTAATTTGAACTTGTTTTTTTAGCTACATTTAGAAAAAGAGACTAACGCATCATACCAACTCATAATCGGACAAACTGAAACTCTTAAAAAACGCTACGAAAGCCTACTGAACGAAAATCAGGCCAAGGAGGAAAGCATCAGACAGCTGCGGCAAGAGAACGAATTAAGTAATTCGAGAATTCAAAATTTCACGGAACAAATTAAAAACTTCCAGGATAAACTGAATTTGATCTACCAAGAAAATCAAAGCATTAATAAGCGATTGATAGAGGAGAATAAGATGTATGATGAATTGTCTGAGCACTATCAAGAGTTAAAGAAGAAATATTCGAATGTTAAGGTATTTTAATTATTTTACTTTTAATATAGAAAATTAATTTTGTGTTAATTTTGTTTAAAGACGGAGTTGGAAAGAGAGCATCAAAAGTCCGAACGTGTAAAATACGCTGGAGAAACTCGCGTCAGCGATCTGGAAGGCGAAAACGATAAACTGAAGCACATACTTTCGGAGACCCAAGGCAAATTAGAAACGGCCCTGACGGAGATTAGGAAAAACCAAAATTTAGCGGTGTCTAAGAGTCTGCTTCTAAAATCCAACACATCGCATACTGACGCTGCTTGTGTTTCAGTTCAGAACACAACAACACCTACAGGAACTCCGCAAAAGGACCCATTACATGTACAGGTAGTGTCGTCGACGACGAGCGGTGCTCTCAAGAGCAGTTCGTCTGTATCCATTGTTTCATTGTCATCGTCACCAGATAAGTTTAACAATATTGATTTGGAAGATTTGCTGGCCAACGCCGACCACGACAAAATTCTCAGTGTGATCAACTCAATCAAATATGTAAGTACACGATTTTTTACAACTGCATTATTAGCGTTAGTGTCACTGGGTCGGTATAAAGATACAAGGTGTTATTGAAATACATGTAAATTTTAAAAGTGACAAGAGTCAAAATTTCTTTATTGTTAAAGAATTAATTACATTCTTATTAAGGGAAATCTAACGCTCGAGTTTTGACTCAAATGTAGAGAGTCGGCTGATAACAGATTACAGGCTCATTTTCCATCATTTAAAAAAAAATCTGTTTGGGATGACTAGAAAAAACAATTTTAAAGGTTTATGTTAGAACAATATTTTGAATTTTTTTCTTGTGTTGTTTTGTCAGAGTTCTAAAAATGTTAAAAAATGAGGATTTTTAAGATCTAATTTCGTGCTTCATAAGAAAAAAACTTAGATTCATCCCTTAACAATATTCTAACCCAAGAAAAAATATATATCTTCAAAAATAAGCTCGTAAAACGTTATCAGCTGTACCTCTAAAAGCGCAAATTTGAACACCGTTAAGTGGCGCCTCCAGCGGTAAAATGCATTTCGTTTATATAGGGAGTGGATAAATTTTGCAGGGACTTAGGAACATTTTATAATATATTTTTTATATAGTAAGGGGAATCTAACGCTCGAGTTTTGACACAAATGTAGAGAGTCGGCTGATAACAGATTATATCCTTATTTTTCAATGCTTAAAAAAATATTTTTGGGATGTCTAGGAAAACCAGTTGTAATGATTTTCATAAAAAAAAATATGAATTTTTTTAGTTATTTTTTTTTGCGGAGTTTTAAAAATGTTAAAAATAGGTATTATGACGACCTAATTTCTTGTTTCATGGACAAAAAAATAAAAAAAAAAATAAGATAAACTTAGATTCATCCCTTAAGAATATTGTAATCCAAGAAAAAAAATACCATGTAATTTTTATCCGCTTACAAAACGTTTTATTTAAACACGAAATATCGTTGAAGTCTGTCATTATTGTACCCTTTTTATTAACTCTGTCTTCCTCCTTAAACCCCCAGAAGTACCAGGCATATTTTTCGGGAAAAACCGTCTTTTAAGATTGTTGTGGATTAGTACCAACTACCTAAGTTTAATAAGTTATAATGGACTATTATCCCTTCTAATAGAATTTTTATTACCCTTGATTGGGGCTTATTTAGGTGTTTTAAAACATTAGGGAAAACCAGAGCTATTCCACTGCGGGTCTATACTATTAATAGAAATATACAGTATGGTACAAAAAAATATATATTTATTGTAAATAATAAATTCAATGTGTTTGAGACTTTCTCGAACACTATGGCTAATTTTAACCAATTGTTTTACAGATTTAACCCCTGTGAAATTTATAGGCCCATAAACTTGTTTAATTTTTCATTTTAAAATGTTACATTATATACACACCTACTATTGTTTTTAAAAATTACAAAAAACGAAAACTCTTACATTTTATTGATATAGGCAAAAATCACACGTTGTGGTATACATAGTTTAAAATATACATCATGCAAAGAAACAAAGAAATAAAAGAAAACATACTTTACAAACAAAAGTCTAAAACAAATAACAAGATATAGTGGTAAATTAATAAAGCAACTCATTATATCACAAATTATAATACATTAACGTAAAAAGTTTTCTAAAATAGGTAAACACTTAAAACTTAAAGTAAATGCTATAGTCCTTCCATTATCAATTGCAGAACACAGTTATGTGGGGAATCATCAATATTTAATATATACGCACGGTACTCATGCCAAATTAAAAAACGAAAAATAATGTTTACTCCCCTTATACAAAGCGGTAAATATTAAACGAACCATCAGTTGTTTACCAATGAAAACATCGACAGTCTGCGATATCAGTGGAGTACTGTCGTGCGGTGTGTTTTGTATGTGTGGTTGGTTTAATTTAAATTTCTTTTAATAAATATAAATATGGCGTTCTTTAGACCATGGGCGAATGAAGAAAATGAAATTGCACAGTGTAGTGAGATTAAAGACAGGTATGACTTTAACGATAAGGATTTAGATATACAAACACAACAAGTTATTTTAAATATATTCAAATGTTTAAAAAAGGAAAATATTCAGCAGTCTGATAATGCGTTCATAATAACAATTGCTGAATTAACTAAAGTAAATAAATTTTCCGTTTATCCGGTAGTCACGAAAGGGGTTGCTGTGGATTATTCATAAAACCGAAAAACATGTAAAGAAAAACTGAAATCAGTTGACAGAGCTACCCAAGATTTTATACGAAGGACAATTTATAGTTTATATAAGGAGAACAGGGTTCCGACATTGGAAGTAATACAGCAAAAGGTGGCAGATTTTCCAGGATACACTTATACCAGTTTGGAAACATTGCGTCAAGTTTTGTCAGCATGTGGTTTTAAACACAAAAAATTGAATAAACAGATGGCAATCACCGAATCGTCAAGGATAGTTCAATGGCGACAAGATTATTTGCGTCAGATAAAAGGCTACAGAAGCTCTAATAGACACATAATTTATCTAGATAAAACATGGTTTGACAGTCTTGATGTAGTAAATTTCGGTTGGGTTGGCAGTAGTAAAAATTGCTGTTTGAATGGGCCATGTTCTAAAGGGAAACGCATTATAATAGTACACGCTGGAAGCAAAGACGGGTTCGTGCCTAATGCTTTATTATTATCTGCTAAACAAATTAAAAACTGTGCAGCTGATTATCATGAAGATATGACAGCAGAATTACTTGAAAAACGGTTTAATGAACAGCTTTTACCTTACATTCCACCACAGTCAGTAATCGTTATGAACAACGCATCCTACCACTCGCGGCAACTCCTTAAAATACTAAATAGTAGCAGTAAAAAAGCTCAAATTTTAGCTTTTATGTCTGAAAAAAATATTCCTATTCCTGCCAGTGATAGTAAAAAAGGACCAACAAACAAAGAATTGCTTACTGTTATTAAAGGTATAAAGTTAGAAAAAATGTATTATATTGACAAGCTGTGCAAACTCTTCTCAGACTACCTCCTTACTATTGCATATTTAACCCTATAGAGTTAATATTGGCAAACTTAAAATCAGAATTACGAAAATGTAAAAGTCCAAGTAAGATTACAATTAAGTGCATCTGTCTAAATAAGGGCGTATAATGTCCAATTTATAATTATTCAATTTCCTTTTAACGAATACTTTCTTGCATATGATATATATTAAAAGTATTAATAAAATAAATTTATAAAATGAGGTAGGTATCTACGCCTATGGCAGATCAAACAACATTGTCGGTAAAGGTTCCGAACGAGTTTTTATGATCTGCAATTGATAATGGAAGAACTATACCGAAATATTCTTAATTTTTTTTCGTTTCGCTTTTTTTTATTCATGGCGTTTAAGATACACTCAGGATCTTTTATGGGCATGTTTCTAGCCTTTCGAGAATCGATTATTTCGGGAATCATATAATCGTAGTAAAAAGATCATAGAAAAGGCTCCATCTTATTTTTCCAAAACTCTGAATACCTTAGAATTGTTTCTGTTTTCATACCCTGTGGCGTCCAAACCGCAAAAATGCAATATGATCTTCTCGTTATCTGTAATTGCCCTTGAACTTGGTAGTAGCATTTGTGGTTTTTATTAATGTGGTTGTTTTGCCAAAAAGTAATATTTTTCGTTTGAATTCCTTGTTCTGGGGTCATTTGTCTTGCAGAGTAAAGACATTTTATTTCATCTAGGCATCTTTCTTCTATAATACCATCTGGGGTTGCTGCCAAAAAAGGTTGTTCGATATCAACAAAAAGACCGCAAGGATCTATAGTTCTCCTAGTTATTTTTTCTAGTTGCTTTCTAGCATTTTCTTAATTTTTTTTGCCATATAAAATCTTTCGGGATACAATATTTTCTCCAAAAATGATTTACAGCTGGTTGTTCTTTTCTTGCAAACATCCCCAAAGAGCGATGCTGTAAGTTTCTTTCTTCTCTCAATATACCATAAATCCGAGGCATGCTGGCTAATTCCTCTAGTTCATCTGCTTCTTCTGAAGTTTTCTTTAATATTTCTAAAAACATTCTCTGAGCATGTAAAAATTCTTCAGGAGGCATATCTGGTTTTTGGCACGTATCTCCGTAGCTTTCGTCACCTTTACTTGTTGATGGTTATAAGAACGTTAGTCTTTTTCTTGATTTTGGGGTAGCCTCGTTTTTCTTTTGCCAATCGTTTCATTTCTAATCTTACATATATTAATTATGCCAAAAATTCTATATAAATATTTACCAGTTACCTTTTTATTAGGAAAACTAGTTCTTTTTTCCACGGCATTTTTCTTTTAGTGGAAAATCTAAGCCTTGCTTTATTTCCTTTTCGATATGATTGTTCTTCCATTATAATTATAAGTATAATAATACCAATATGTCAACTGCCACAAAGAAAAACTGGAACAAACAACCCTCCGCAATATTACTATCGTCACCCTAAAAACAATCCACTACCACAAACAACAATACAACACTAGAATTAGTTCAGATGATATTTGCGTTCTAGTTATTCCACCCCGTCAAGTCCGGACCTGAATGTGCAGCGTTAAATCGTCTTCTGGAAGTTATTCTCCCTCTCAAGGCGCTTCTCTCTTTAAAGAAAAGAGCCAAGTCCGGACCTGAATGTGCAGCGTTAAATCGTCTTCTGCAAGTTATCCTCCTTCTTAAGGCGCTTCAAATATACCACGCGGTCCGCCTTCGTCGTACCTCGGACCTCTCCCCGCTGGACATGTAATTGTTATGCTCGAGCGTTAGATGCCTGTTAATGGACCTAGTGGGGCCTAAGTGCCGTGAGGTAACCCACCCTCTACACGTCACAGATACAGAGACAGATACATTCTTATTAGCCAAGATAGATAACATAATAGTATAAGAAAGCTGAAAACAAAAGTAAAAAATTAAAATTCAAAGAAAAGAAACAAACATAAAATTTTCGTAAAGGAAATTTGTTGTTTATTTTAAAATTTTTAAAAATTCTAATGTCAAGACATAAAATATAATATAAAAAAAAAAAACAAAAATGTACATGTACAAATATGACATTCGACAAATATATACTATGCACATAAATTAAAATGAGCTAGCTACTTAATTCAATGGATCACAGAAAAATTCATCCAATTTGTAGTAGGCCTTTTGGAGCAAGAGTTTCTTAACTTGCTTTACACAATAGAGCCACATACCAAACCGGAAGAGGTTATAGGCAAAGGAATGTAAAAGCTTCTTCGAGTATTGCTGGAGGTACAGTCAAATCGGGTAACTCTGGACCACGTTTTTATTATAAATCTGAATTTATTTGTTATTGTTGCACAATTATATTGAATGATGAACCTACTGGTGTTCGTGTAAAGTGATCTATATGAATTTTAAATTAAAAAAAATTAAAATCTATTGCAAATATAAAAAATATATATTTTTGGGTGTGGTCCAAAGTTATATTGGATTTGGGGTAACATTGACCAAAGTATTTTCATTGAGAGAAATTACTGATTTATTACAATTTAAAGGCTACGGAAAAGATTAAACCATATTAGTTTTAATGTAGAGACCCCAGGTATTAGTTATAATTAATTTGGATTTAAGTTGACAAGGACACCAACAAAATGATATCTTCTTTTTTAGCACCTTTCTTTAGTGGCACGTTTGTTTTGGAACATATATAAAAACATAATTTATAAAAAAAATCATAGTTTTATTCATGGTCTGGTCTAATGTTGCCCCATTGGTCCAAAGTTACCCGATTTGACTGTAATAATATTACATTTATATTATTTAAAAACTAAAAGTACCGTTTCTAAAATGAACAGACAAGTGAGTGTTGGTATATTGTGCCTAATAAATAATGTCTTACAACTTTGCACATGTCTTATGGCCCTCTTCTGTAGACAAAGACTAGTGAACAACTCGGAAAAACATCTTTCCCAGAAACTTATAGCATATCGCAGATTGGATTCTACCAATGAAAAGTTTACACTTCTTGCAAACGAACTATCTTAGTTGTATGCAACAGTTCTTACTGCAAAACATCCAGAGGACAGCTTCCTACACAAACTATTAACATGAATTTCAAACTTTAATTTCAGGTCAATGAATAAGCCTGATAATTTATTTTTGGGTTTTTTGTAAATTTGTTGATGTCAAACTGAAATTATAGTGATATGGCCACGGAATGAGACAATATTTGTTTTTGTTATATTAAAAGAGAAATAATTTGAATCACACCATTCTAATCTTAATAATGTTGTTAATAGTATCAAACAACTCTGCAGTATTCTAATTCTCTCAGAGTATCGTTTGTATCATCTGCAAATATGGTGAAGTATCCATTAATATTGACATTAATAATATGAACATAAATTAGGAACAAAACTGATCCCAGAATGGATCCTTGAGGAACCCCACAGTGAATCATAGAAAACGTTGTTTGCTTATTGAAAGAAACTCTTTGTATTCTAGACTAGAACCACTTTAGAGCTATTCCTTAGAATCCATATTTTTCTAGCTTGCTCAGCAATATTCTGTGATTTACACAGTCAAAAGTTTTGAATAAATCACAGAACGCAGCAGCAGCTACCCTATTTAATTTAAATCGAGGTATAATTTCTCTAGAACAGAAAACATAGCATTGGTAGTATTTTTACCCAATTGAAACCTAAACTGTGTTTTTTTAACCTAACCTAACCAATTTTTCAATTTTTGCCCTTGTATTGGTATAGGTATAACATTGGCAATTTTTTAAGAATCACTGAAAGAACCTGTCCAAAATGAATGATTGATTCTGCTAAAACATTTATCGAATCTTCTGGAAGATATGAAAGAAGATTAACTGAAATTTCATTCCAACCTGAGGAATTCTCTGTTGTGGTAGAAGGATATTGTCACGACTCGTATAAATTCATACTTTTCCTAATTTTAATTATTTAAATAACATCCTGTTAATAAACTTTGTTTAATTATGTCAACAATTTGTTTTAAATTGAAATCATGTGCAAGGTTGTTTATTTAATAATTATTTAATAATAATAAACTATGGAGAAGTTATAAAGGGAATGTCGAGGAGACGTGGAGAGCTTTTTCCACAGAGAAGGAGCCTCCCCATAGGAGGCCCCCCTTGTAGGAGTTTCCCAGTAGCAGCTCCAGCTCAGGATCTCTATAGTTTAAATTTAAAGTCTTTTTTGTATTTTTAATAATTGCGTTTTGAATAGTTAGCTAAGGGTTGTGACATGTGCCCAAGATATTTGTTGGGGCTTGTTTAATCTTTTATTGTCTATTTGTTAATATATTGAGCCCTATATTTGTGTATGTTAAGTTAGGAAATATTTTGTATAATCGTTTTAAATTATATTGTATTTGTTTTAAGAACACTGTGTTTTCTTCAGCTCCTTTTCGGGAACGAGTTAGGTTCTAACATCAAGAGTAGAACCCTTATACAGTTAAGGGCTACGAAGCCAAGTTTAAGGCTAAATAGTGTTTACATGACTGAGGTCTGAATTTATATATTTTGCTTATTAACCCCCAGGACACAGATAGTCCCATAATTATTAAAGGACACGTAAAACGTGAATTTTTTTTATAAAAAAACACGCTTGAATGTGACTATATCCTTTCTACATCAGTTGGTATAAAATAAAATGAATTGTTAATATTTAGATTATTTAAATAAGACAAAGCATCAGTCGAAGAAGTTATTTGGGTGGACAGACTTGGACCAACAGAACAATAAAATTCGTTGATTTCGGTAGGGCTTAAGGTGATCAAGGGTTTAGACTTTTGGCCTCTTAAGGGCCATTCGCACCGCTTTAGAATAAATTTCCCCTTAGTAAAGGGAAACTTATTATTTAAGCATTACTTATCGTAGTTTAATACTCATCAGCTGATTAAAAAGCAACAATTAATTGTCAGATTGATTTGGAAACGTCAAGATTTTTCTATAAAAAGCAAAAATAATGTCAAATTTTAATTTTATTTTGAATGTTAAGTGAAAGCTATGATTGTCACAGGCGCAGAAGAGACAACAATTCTCTTCTGTGTCATAGGGCTATTTAACAAAAAATTAGATGAACTAAGAAGTAATAAAATAGAGCACAAAATACAGCCATAATGAGTGTAAAATTAGTATTAATTCAATTAGTTAGTATGATTGTACTATCGTTGAAAGATGAGGATGAGATAGCCAATACTACCAAGAGTTTAATGCTAATTTTACAAAAAATATTCGCAAAAAAACACTCTTTATAAAAATGGTTAAAATTGTATTGTCTATAAATTTGCTCCAATTTCATCAAGGAATTTAATTTTTACAATTTTAAAACTTAAAAATGTAATAATTTCCTCTTTCCGATCATTATTCTATAGTCTCTGAAATACTCCAAGTCCATTCGCATTCTTTATTGTTTAAATGTAAAATGGATGAAACAAAAAGTTACTAGATTTTGGCAAATTAATTACGTCATGTTATTATGTCAGTTGGTAGTTATCAAACTAATTTTAAATTTGTCAATTTCTTAAAAATTTTATATGAAACATCTAATTTTCCAAAGTAATATAGTCTTAAATTTGTCGCTAACATGATGAAAGGACGTATCTCAAAAATTCCTGGATTTGAGTTACGTCCATCAAAAGATATTTTCAGAATTTATAATGTCTCACTAATTTTAGGGAAAAAAGTTATTCTTCATAAAAAGTTCTGCATTCTCTAAAACTGAAAACACAACCATCAAATATTAAATTTTTTGGAGCCATATACAAGGTTTGTCAAAAAGTATGAATTTTGCTGAAGAGTAAAGTATCTTTATTTTTGACAAACCTCGTATACGACTAATAAAATTTGATATCTGATGATTGTATTTGTTTTAGACCATGCTCGACGTTTTATGAAGAATAACTTTTTTTCCTAATAATAATAAAAACGTTTTTCATATGCTGCCAATTTACGTAGACAATTGGCATTGACACATTTTATGTTATTAGCATTTTTTTTTAGCAACTTTTAAAGTTAAAAGAAAAAGCTAGATTGAAGTTAATAAAATTTTTAAACTGTAATTACTTAAATCTTGTAATTTTGAGATACGCCTGTTCGTCTTGTTAACTACGAATTAAGGTCACATATTATCAGAAAGAAAATTCTGCATAAGATATATGAATGGATATAGAAGCTTTTTTAATGTCAACGAACTATGCAAAAATCTTACAGAAGAATGTTGCATGTATTTCAATAATACCTTGTATAATAAATAATACACTGGGCTCAGTATTCAGTACTCTAGTTTAAAACATTTGCAGTTGTTATTCTTGTTGGCAAAGCTATTAATACTTCCCATTCTATAATTTTATTAATTTAATATGTACATTTCTTTTAGGATTATGAAACACAGAGACAGAAAGTACTCAAACTAAAAGCTGAACAATTGAAAGCATGCGAAATTATTAAGAACATGATTGACTCCAGAAACAAGGCCAATGAAGAGATCCAACAGTACCAAATACAGGTCAAAAATTTAGAGAGGGAATTAGAATCGGTTGTGTCTAAACCTACCAGTGATAGGGATTCCCCAGTATCGTTGAGAGAACGAGTTTCGAGAGCTAATGAGGTATTAGAAATAATTTTATAATATTATCCCTACAGGAATAATGTCTGGTGTATGAGACTGACCAATTGTTTATTTTCGTTTTAATTGATTTTTGAACAAAAGAAAACCAGTTATGACATGCATTAAAATGTTGATTGGTAGATTTTTTAAACAGTAAATTTTGTTTTAGTCAGTATGCCTGCAACATTTTTCGGAAAAACGTGTCATATTAATTTCAAAAATTCTTTCAATACTTGTTCATTTAACTTTTTTTATGAAATTACATTTAAATTTTTAATAAGATGGCAAATTCTTGTGCGAAAAGAAAATATATAAACAAAAAATATCGAACAAATATATGGAAAAAAATCACCCTATCAAAATTTTGGCTCTTAAAAATAATTACTGTGCTGTTAACATTGAGAAAAAAGGTATTTACACTTTAAAATGTTTCGTTGCTACTTTGGTATGTGGCAACGGCGTAATGATATTTCTTATTAATTTAATTCGTTGCCTTCAAGTCTAGTACTCTGAACATTGTTTCCATGATTTTTGAATAATTCGGTCCACTCTTGTGAACGTTGTAGTTGCACCTGTTACCAGTTTTAAGTATTCTGTGGTTATAAACTACACAGTATTTTTAAATATTGTTTTAATGCCCCTACTTCCTGAAACTACAATTCTCCCACAGTCAAGTCTCTATGCACAAATATATAGTTCTTTTTTTTTTTTCAAAAATATCTCTTGAATTAAAACAATTGAAGGCCTATTTACAAAAACAATGTTAAAAATTAGTTTTTTTCAGGAAACAAAAAACATACCAGTCGTATTAGACTTTGAAGAAACACTATAATATATTTGACAGTGAATATCTGTTTCTGTGTTACTTTTGTAGGAAATAACTATATGTGTCGATAAATGCAACAATTTTCCACAAACTGTCATAGTTAGCTCAATTCAGGCATATTTTTGACATATGTTGTTTTTGATAAAAAGTCTACAATTTGGTACAAATTGCTTTTTTTGTTATATTTCTTTTCACACGGCAATATCAAACAGCTAATTAAATAAAATATACTGACAATCTATTCGCTTCGTGCGTAACAGCAGTGCCAACTAATGCATGAATTAAAAGGCGATATTTACGTATATTGACATAATTTTTAATACAATTCGTAATTAAAAATATATATTTTATTACTTCACACCGTCTTATATGTGTCTGATGCAGGAAATGAAAATAATAAAACCTCAAAATCAATTTTAATATAAATAAATACAGGAGCGACTAGTTTCGGTCTCACAGTGACATCTTCAGGTCTGTAATACAATAATTCTAAATTATTATAATAGGTTGGTCACTTGCAATTAAAATTAAATAGTATAAACCACAAAAATAGATCCATATTGTAGCGTTACAGCATTGTAGAATTAAAGCTGTGAAAATAAAATAACAGTGCAAACGTAACACATTTTAAATGGATAAATGTTTAAAGAGTTGATTCCTGAACATAACTAATCTGACGTTTTCCCCCTTTTTAATATTATGAGGGTTTTTGTAGTTGAAATGAAAATTATAATTTATTTTGGTTCTAATAAAAATTTAAACAGGTTGTTATCAAAGAGTAAAATACATAATAGAACTTCATAATCTTAAAACGTTATCAAAAATTATTAATGGTAAAACTTCAAACAATAATTAGATTCTTAAACAAATTTCTTGTTTTGTTCTGCAAAAAACTTTTTGCCTTCTTCGGTTGCCTCTGCCTCTTTTCTTTTAGTAGTTTTGAGGAGAATTTTACTATGGAAACCAGTAGAACCATCAATTGGTTTGTAACATTTTGATATTTTGGATCTGGTAAGAGTCTTGTTAAAATTTCTTCTTAGGTAGGTAACCTTTTGGAGAATAAAAATTTAATGTTAGATCAAAAGCTCTTAATTGAGAATTATATTTGCGAATGCCGTTTTAATAATATTTTAGAAAGTTCTTGGAATCGTTGTTAACAGAAACTTGCAAAAAAAAATATTATTTTATTCCTAAAATATAAGATATAACATTCATATAATATCATTGAGCTAGAAAAATAGTAGGTAGGTACTGAGACAATTTAAAAAAGTAAATTCGAGAAAATCAACTTTTAATGTCATTATTGTACTTCAACTTTTTTATTGCTAAATTATTAATAATGTCATTTTGTGTAGTTCGTTGTGATTTGTATAATATATATTATAAAAACCTATTGTCAATAATTGTCTTTGTTATAGTAAAAAACACATTTAAACACATTTTTAGAAGTTTTTTGGATTTCTGCTTTAAGTTATCGTATAATTGAATTGACTAATTGTGTGTTAATTAAAGGTATATCTCTTTTTTGTTAACAGTCTTTATATTGTTCTACACTTTTTAGATAATTAAAGAAAACAGTAGGACATTTTAAAATATCCTATTTCATCAACAAACATGTAGAATAATGAATCTCACATCAAACGGAAAAAGTCATTTTAGGATGTCTTATTAGGTATTAACTTAAAAACTAAATAAAATGTATATTGCAACTATGCTCAAATAAATGAATGTGTTTATACCTGACTATATCACCAGACAGACATTTCTTTAGATCATAATGATCTGGTTAACTCAAAATAGTCAAAATCCACATTATTTAAGTTGTTCTAGTATTGTTTTAGCATAGCAATATAAACTCCAACAATAAATATTCAATGTTTTTTGGGACGTTTTTTAGTAAATTAAAAAAAAAACATGCATAATGTGATATTCTTGTTTAGTTTGTTACTACATAATAGTTCATTAGGTAGTGATTTAGAAGCAAATTAAGTTTTATTTATAGAATAAAAAAAAACTCATAATATCCAAATATTTATACCTATATATTTATATATTGGGCACAAACTATTTTATGTTTCTAGCTCTGAATATTTTTCTTAAGAATTTTAAAACCTTCCTTAGCTTTTTTGGGATATTCCATGCATATCTTTGAGGGTCATTTTGTTGAAACCTAAAATAAATTAAGTACAAAATATGAAAATTTAAACGTTACACAAAATTAGTCTATTAAATTAGTTAAAAAAAGTGTCCACAAAAAAATGGCTTTGCCTTTTTCCTTAAACATTCTTTTTGAAAGAAACTTAAATGTCTTGCTGTTTTAGTATTTTAGTAGCAGATGAATATGGTATGTAAGTAGTGACAGGATTGATTATTATACTTTTCTCATCGAAATTTACTGAAATTGGATTTTTCTTTAATATTTTCCTCCCCTGAGGTCTGTAATAAAAATATTCATTAGCGTAAAAAGTTATTCAGGTGGTCACTTGTTGAATTCCTAAATTTTGGAACAATGTATTTCTTTTTATCATATCAAAAAAAGGAAACCTAAAAAAATAACTAAACTTTACAATCATAATAAGTAATTAACCTTTACTATAATCATTATGAGACGGATGAAGACGAACTTAGCTGGGGTTTACTTGCTCTTAATTTTACTTTTTCGATAAGAAACAAATTAAAGTGATTGCCTAATGCACCCCCTTTGATAATTAGGTTGTGTCTGTATTAACTTATGATATTGTCTTGAAGAAGCATTTTTAACAGACCTTTTACACATAAAGCATGTATTATTAGAGATAATGAATCCTAAATATACATTTACAACCCTTACAACGCTATAATTATATTTTCCTTAAAATACAAATAAAAAATTGACATGTCAGAAAGTGTCAGAACTGGCGCTGTCGAACTTGGCAAGGCTGATTAAATAAGCCAATTACAGGAGAGGGATTTCTCCCCTCGGGGGATGTTGCTAACAAAATTTAGCGCGGGGAAGGGGGGAAAACTCCCTCTAGTAGTAATTGCTCGGAGGTCATAAACAAGAAGTCAAAAATAATTCATTTTTAACGTATTTTTGCATTTTCTAGTAATAAAATGAGTGATTCGGAAAGTTTCCGTCTGATATTGAAGAACAAGCTTTAAATATAGTCACTTGTTAATCTTAATATTTGAGGTTTAAATCCAATGCACTAATCTGCCATATTAGAAATTAGCAGTTAGTATGGGTAATAAATTTTAATCCGTTTTAAATTTAAATAGATTTTGACAATTTGACATTTTTTTATTTGATTGATTGAAAAGCAGCGAGATAAAAAAAATGCGTGTGTTAATAAACAATGTGTGGGGTAAGAAGTTCTTATCTCACGGGCGTAGATAAAGTGTTGTTAAATAATGTCTGACAAGTCTTGACATGAATTGACTTCTAACTACTAACAAATATCTCGCGGTCCTGAATAAGACATATCCTAAGGGACACAGGAGGGTATAATATCCGCTATTTCATTATTTTCGTTTTGTTTACAAAAAAATTATTTACATATCTTAAAAATCTGATGTGTCCAACACATGACTTTCCTATCTAGTTATATAAATGTTTAGAGGATAAACTAAATATATACATTGTCCACATACATCTACCTCGAAACATTTTTCTATAGATATTCATGGAAAACGAAAATACTGAAAAATTTTAATTTCCTACAATTTTTTCATTACGGTCCATTTTAGAAAAATCATGTATAAACAAAAATTATAGAGATCGATATCGCAAACAACTTTTATTTCAAAAACTTTCATAATAAAAATCAGAATTTTGCACATTTTGTCAAATTTCTCGAATACGGACCATTTCAGGAAATTTTTACATAAAACAAAAATTACAGATAATAATATTAGAAGTAACTTTTATTTGAACAATTTTCCTCTCCAAACATAAATAACAGATATATTCCATAAAATATAAAAACGGCCTCCCATAAAGTACCCCCCCAGATGTTCCGACTTTGTCCAAAATCTAATCATTTCACGTCAGGCCGAAATAAACCTTAAGTTTAAAATTTAATGTTTTTTTCTTTATCCGTTTTTGAGTTTTTTTCAAAATTTGAAATTTACACATTTTCTCAAATATCTCGAATACGGTCCATTTTAGAGAAATTATGTAGAGAATAAAAATTAT